CCCGCGTCCTATCCAGGTCCACCACCAACGCCCTCTTCCCAACCCCACACCGCGCCCACCGTCTCATGCAGTGTTTTGGGGTCCGAGACCGCCTTGAAGGTCCTCTCACAGGAGATGCCCTTGCGCTGCGGCTCAGACTCGGGCGGCAGCTCAGAGTGCCGCGTGGCGCCTGCGCAACGCAGAGGAGCGGGGGCCTGAGAAGGCGGGTCAAGACGGGCAAGCGACGCCACAAACGCCGCCGCCGCTGGCCTCTTGGCATGTTGTCCTTGCCATCACCTGCCCACCCCATGCTCACCCAGTCCCAGTGACACCCCCAGGAAGAATTCGAGGGCCACGGGGCTGAACAGCGCCGCCACCAGGCCGCGGCGCTCAAACAGCTCGCCACACGTGGTGGCACCCAGGGCAGACACCAGCTGAGGGGGCGCAAGGGGGGAGGGGTGGTGGGGGTGGGTGCAGGGGCGTCGCAACACCGCTGAGGATGTGGCGTGCAGCAGGCCCATTTAATGGGCTTCATGAGGGTGTCTGTAAGCTTCCGCAGCAGCTCGAGCTGTCGGTTGGCTGGCATCAGCACTTCTCATCGCGCGCAAGCGCGCAGCCAGTGTGTGCCCCTGCCTCCCCTGCTCCCCCCCACCTGCTCCGTGACCTTGCCGATCCCGGGCACCCGCCGTATGGGCAGAGAGCTGATGAAGGCCGTCACCGCGGCCCTGGAGGGGGCCAGGACGTACTGGCCATCGGGCTTGTTGATGTCGGACGCGACCTGGCAGGGGATAGGGGCGGCCGTCATGCAGGTGCCGTAAGGGCGAGAGCGGTCACCATGTTGTCACCAACAAACGGCCCAAAGGCGGCACGTAGCCTCTCAGGTGTTGGCACTGGCAAAGAAAACACCTGTGTGCCGCAACTCAGGACGACTCAGCACAGCAGCTGGAGTGACCGTCTGCCCGCCGCCCCCACCTTTGCGAGCAGCTGGTTGGGTGCGACGCCCACACTGCAGGTGAGGCCCCTGGTCTCGTCCCTCACACGCGCACGCAGCTCAGCTGCCACCTGGCGGGGTTGAGTCGGGGGCTTTGCAGTAAGGCAGTGGCGCGAGAATCAGGACGGCGTGAGTTGGGCTAGGGCGTGGCGGCCACACCGCCATGTTGGTGGCGCGTCCTCACTGGGTGAACGCTCCTCCTGAACCCCGTGCCCACCTGCTCCCCGGTGACGCCGTGGCGGCTGCAGTAGTCCGTCACATCCAGGTACGCCTGCGGTAGCGGGGCGGCCGGCGGCGGGTGGCGATTCGCTCCTGCGCCATGAGCACCTCAGCCATACCATGCCATGCATGGGTGGATGGCCGGTGGACACAGGCAGCACAACGCCGCTGCACGGGTGCGTAGCCTGCTTATATGCTGAAGCTTTGCACGGGAAGGGGGGCGAGGGTGTCTTTCTGCTGCGTACCCAGCGCAGCACCCACCTCATCCAGGCTGCCTGCCCTGAAGTCCGGGTCATACACCCTGGGGGAGGGGGCAGGAGGAGGGGGCGGGAGGCTGTTGGGTGAGCCACGGGCGCTCAACTGTTACACGACGGTTGCATGGATCCTGAGCCTTGTGCCAGCCAGCAATTGAAGCGACCATATGGCCCCGCAGGAAAAAAAGTCTGCATCAGGACATCGCACGCTCACACACACACACACACACACACACACACACACACACACACACACACACACACACACACAC